CCCCACACACACACCTCCCCACACACACACACCTCCCCACACACACACCTCCCCCCACACACACCTCTCCCCACACACACACCTCCCCACACACACCTGGCAAAATAACTACAGCCTTCAGTACCATCTAGTGACCACTTCTGTGAACTACAGAGACAGCCACACAAGGATGGCAAAGCATTTGGGATACCTTGATTATTTTTTATCTGACAGGTTTCTATTGACTTAGGGCAATGATGTACCTCAGAAGTTGGGCATTCTGGTTTTTTCTTTAACTTTTCATCTAGTACCCATGAGATCAGCAGTGATTTTCTCATTCACATGTCAATGAATTTGCAGAGAAGGAAAACCTCAGGTTGATTTCCCTTCCCGTCACTCTCCCTCGTGCACACTGTCCTGGTCCCCCCAACGTCAAGGCCGCTCCTGCTTCAGAACACTTGCTCTTGCTGTTCCCTCGGCCTGGAATGCTCTTTCCCTGAGGAACAAATGACTTACGGCCACCTTCAACTAGGCCAGGCCTCCACTGCCTGCTCAGGAAACCTACCTCCTACACCTGTCTCAGACTCACTGTCTGCCCTCCACTGTCTGGCCTGCCAGTCCTCTCTGGTTTTCTTTCTTAGCGATTGTTACGAGCACAGATGTCCATTAGCTGACCACGCACCTCCCCCCACCAGAAGGCGACCTCCACGAGGACTGAGCCTGCGCTGAACTCACTGCTAAGTTGCCACGGCCAAGGACGCTGCGGGCACGCGGCAGCAGCTCAGCAAATCCTTACTGAATGAATGAATACTACACAGTCAACATGAAGGCGCCTCAGACACACGGGGCTTCTTCTCATTTCTTATCTGAACAAATACATGTATGTAATAAAGCAAGACAAACTATAAATGGACAGACTTTTCTAAAACAAATCTGAGAGGGTTTTTTGTTTGGTTTTTTTTTTTTCTTCTCTCTCTCTCAAGTTGAGCAACAGAAACCAAAACACAGTTGAAAATTTAGAGCTGTGATTTTTCACCTTCAAAATGTAGTAATAATAAATAATGAAAGGTCAGGAAAGGAATCAGAATATTTTATTTGTACCTTCTTCAAGAAAGTGAGGCTGTATTTTAAAAAGGCCAACTGACCAAGAAGGACCACGTTTAAATTTAAGGGAGCCTTTACCTTTGGTACGCATTTGCTGCTTCCTTCTTCAGTTGCAGATGTTCATTTAAGTAGCCCAACATTGTGAAAGCTGGAGCATAATTCTGAATTCTCTCTGGAAATTCAAAAATATCTTTTCTCAATATGTGCATAATGGTTGTATTTGTAAAAACATTACTTTTGTTTTCAAGTTTTTCGATACTTTAAACAGTAGATCATTTCCTGAGGTCATGGGCATTGCTAGGAATAGAGGTTGAGTTTATCTTGACTGTAAAATACCAGTAATCATTCTATAACTCTTTTAAATTATTGAGTAATACCTATAGTTACACATAGCTTCTATTCAAGCTTCAAAGTTTAAATACATTTTTATTCCCAAAGGTATAACAATTTGAAATCAGAGCTCATGTTAAAACTAGTCATCTGAATTATAAGGAAATTCAGTTCTTTGGCTAATCACATAAACCTTCCTTTTTTTTTTTTTTTTTNATCCTTCAGCTTTCTATTGAAATCCACATAGCTCTGAGGGCCTTTCCAGATTCACTGCAGTGAACATCCTGTTTTGTTCTCCATTTGACTTTGCATCTGTACTGTTTGTGTTTGTTACATAGCTAGATCCCCACTATTTACTACTCTTGTCTCCACAGTGAAGTGTGAAAAGAGATTGTGTCTCAGTGTCCTCATTACACATCCAGCCTTAGCACAGTGCATTAAGTAATTGCTGGATGAATGATGAGTGGATGGTAAGTCCTTGGGAGGACAAGGACCTAGTTCTACAAATTTTTATTACTCTGATGCTTTGCATATAGCCTGTATCCTATTTTTGCAGTAAGCTTAGAAGTTTGTTTAATTGACCTTTATACCCTTACAGCCTGGTACAGAGCATAACATCACAGTGGGTGCTTAATAAATGTTTCAGTTCAGTTCAGTCGCTCAGTCGTGTCCCACTCTCTATGACCCCATGGACTGCAGCACACCAGGCCTCCTTATTCATTGCCAACTCCCGGAGTTGACTCAAACTCATGTTCATTGAGTTGGTGATGCCATCTTCCAACCATCTCATCCTCTGTTGTCCCCTTCTCCCCCAACCTTCGATCTTTCCCAGCATCAGGGTCTTTTCAAATGAGTCAGTTCTTTGCATCACGTGGCCAAAGTTTTGGGGTTTCAGCTTCAGCATCAGTTTACCTCTATTTGTAAATCTTTCACAAATGTTTCCCATTCTGTAAGGAAACCTATCAGTAAAATTTCTGATCCTACACTTTCTCAGAAAGGCTCTAAGAGGTATTCATTCAAGTCACTCATTTGGGCACACTGCATAACACATTCAGGTCTCAAAGTGCTGCCGTTTACAAACAAACCGCCTTCTCCTCAAGTGCCCCAGGCTCAGTGCAGGAGGACTATTACCAGCCTGTGGATTACAATGATGACGCATTTCTTCTGGTTTTCAGTTTATCTGATTTCTTCATACTTGTTCATGGGAAGAAGAGGGTAAATTCATGTCTTAAGAACTAACATTTAATTTGGAATTAACTTTAAATTCTTTAAATTATCTCAACAATTATTCATGTATCTTGCCATGGTATAATAGGTGCCATACCCACGTATTTGCTCAAGACCACTTGTGCTGCTGGAATGGCGTTCATCTGGAGGATGTTATACCGGTACAGCTCCGTGTCTCTGTTGCTCTTATCTTGCAGTGTTGTACAGACCCAATACGCATAACCTATTGCTCCCTCAGTCTGTAAGAAAAGCTAAAGTTAACCAGCAGGCACAGAGTAATAAATCTGCCAAGAAAAATTAAGAAACAAAACAATGTACTTCAATACAGTAAACATCAGATCTTCATCTTCTAAGTCAGCTATTTAGTGCCTTTAAATAAAAGGTCAGTATGATACAACACAACTAAGAATATATTTAAATCACTTGCCTCAAACCTAAGTAGAGGAAACAAGTGGGATAAATAAAGAGGAGAAAACACAGTCCCTCCTGATGGTTTGGTATGATTCTCAACATCATTCCCATAGGTCAAACAAATAATGACCAATCAAAAGATTTCCAAACACTTTCATAAATAATCTAGAAATGTCAACTAAGTCTAGTGTTTATCTCAGTTTATTTATTTTTTTTGAGTCTGTTTCTATTCTGCCTAACTACTGCATCTATTAGATCCCAAAGTCATTTCTTCATCAGCTCTTGAAGTTCTTTAATGAGAGTTTATCTGCTTTTTAAGAAAGAATAAAGAATAGAGACAACTGCTATCATCAACATCTGACATCACCATGTATTTGTTTTCTCAACAAGGGTAGTTAAAAGTTTATTCATTAATGAATCCTGAAGAACATTCAAATTCTTACGTGCATACTGAGTTCTGTAGTGTGCCTGAAGAGATCCATGGTGTCATAACTTCCAACTGTCTCTGCAATTAGAGCCTATAAAAGGAAAGAGCAGGGTCTTAATATGTTCAAAAGGAATACTACTACTACTAATAAATGAGTTTTTGGAGGAACCAAACGTTTTTCTAGCTGTGCTTAAAAGCAAAGTTAAGTTCTTTTTCAATCTTGACTACCATAATCCATGGCTCAGAGGACCAGAATGACTTGTTAAGTGAGCCTTTAAGCTGATAGACACTTGAAGAACTCCATCTGCAATCAGCCAGTGGTGGAATAATCCACACGAAGTTCTTCAGAATCCTGACAACACTGTGCTACCTTCTCTTTCACTACCCAGCATGCCCCTGCAGAGGCACATCTATTCATACAGGCACTTGGTTAGTCACGGGGTCACCTGAGATTCAACTGAAAAGCATTTCAAAAAGGAGATTTCACCCCTAGAAATCTAGCTTCCATAGATCTGGGTAGAGTCTCAACATGTTTATTTTTAAAACTGCCTCAGGATTTCAAATAGTAAGATTTTGTGACAGTTAAAATTACTTTCAAGCTCATCTATCGTTTATAAGAAAGCAGGGTTTTTTTAATTATCATGCATTACTAATTAAGAAATTAATATTAAGCTTCACTCTATCATTATCATTTTAATTAAATCTACTAGTTACCTCCTGAAACAAATTATTTGTAAGGCCAAAAATAATTTAAAGATAAAAAAAAATACTCAAGTGACTCTGATGAACACCTAAGATCTACTGACCTCCATCAGTGCTACTCAAAGTGAAGTCCCTGGACCAGCAGCATTGTCCTCACTTGGGATAGTGAGAAATGCAAATTCTCGGGCCCCCAGGTCCCAAAATCTTACACAGAGTTTACTGTGGTAATGCCACTGTTCTTAAATGCTACCACAGCTAATGGGAATAAGAGTTTGCCTTTTCTAACTCTGGGAGCTTCACCCATTCAATTAACTACAATCAGACCCAAAAGCCAAAGTACAGTAGAAGATACCTAATCACTGACTATGTATCACTGATATGAATGAATGTAAAATTAAAGATATACATGCGTTAAAGTACTTAGAATGTTTACCTTCTTCACGCTCTTCCTTGGGTTTTGAGTTTTAGTAAAATGAGGCACAATAAAGGACAGAAATGGTATGGACCTAACAGAAGCAGACAAAATGTGGTCCACTGGAGAAGGGAATGGCAAACCACTTCAGTATTCTTGCCCTGAGAACCCCATGAACAGTATGAAAAGGCAAAAAGATAGGATACTGAAAGATGAACTCCCCAGGTCAGTAGGTGCCCAATATACTACTGGAGATCAGTGGAGAAATCAAAAAGAATGAAGAGATGGATTCAAAGCAAAAACAACACCCAGTTGTGGGTGTGACTGATGATAAAAGCAAGGTCTGATGCTATAAAGAGCAATACTGCACAGGAACCTGGAATGTTAGGTTCATGAATCAAGGCAAATTGGAGGTGGTCAAACAGGAGATGGCAAGAGTGAATGTCGACATTTTAGGAATCAGCGAACTAAAATGTACTGGAATGGGTGAATTTAACTCAGATGACCATTATATCTACTACTGTGTGCAAGAATCCCTTAGAAGAAATGGAGTAGCCATCACAGTCAACAGAAGAGTCTGAAATGTGGTGCTTGGATGCAATCTCATAAACAGCAGAGTGACCTCTCTTCATTTCCAAGGCAAACCATTCAATATCACAGTAATCCTAGTCTATGCCCCAAACACTGCTGTCAAAGATGCTGAAGTTGACCGGTTCTATGAAGACCTACAAGACCTCCTAGAACTAAAACTAAAACTAAAAAAAAAAAAAAAAAAAAAAAAAAAAAAAAAAAAAAAAAAAAAAAAAA